GGTTTAGGGTTTAGGATTCATGTTCTCCTTTCACCAGACCGTGCGGGCTCCCGCGCTCATGCCACTGTACGACGATGTCGTTAGTGTTTGTTGTCGTCCATACCTTAGGAGGACCCCCCACCCTGTAATAGTGGTATAATAGGAATATAAGAGGACCCTAATATAATCCCTATTAGCCCTTATAGTCACTATGAGTGGGTGGGGGGTCCACTTAATCCATACCCCAGAAACATCTAGCCGTCCTCACAATGCTGCAAAGGGAGCATGGCCTCACTCCGCCTCTCTCTCTGTGGTTACGGCAGCCCTGGAAACCAATTCCGGAACCCTCGCATCCGCTGCATGATACCGAAAACCTTTTGGGGGCTAGTAGGGAACCAGGAAATGAAGCATGTGATAGGGATTATGTAGGGATGGTATTCCCGTTTTTCCCTACTAAAAAAACAGGAGGGAAAGAAAACATGCATCATTAGACACGAAACCCTAAACTAATCATTAGGTGATTGGAGACTGCTGTAGTATTGCTCGGCGGGGGTGGCGAATACGGACTGGACGCAGATGCTAGACCTGAAGCTGCTAAAAGGGTGGGGGGGATGAGGGTTCAGGGCAAGCCTCAGGGCTTAGTGTTTAGGGACCTCAAACCTGAAACCCTGAACCACAAAATCCAAAACTCTGAACCCTAAACCCTCACCGCACAGACGAGCCGACGGGATTTCAAGAAAACTCACCGGAAAACCCTAAACCTTAAACCCTAAACCCTACACCCTAAAACCCTAAACCCCTAAACCTGGAAAATCGTACAGCCACTTCCGCTAGATGCCGGCGACCCCCAACGGAGATTCGGCTGGGGAGCTCGCTGCAGAGGAGCGGTTCAGGTTTAGGGTTCAGAATTTAGGGTTTAGGGCTTAGGGTTCAGAATTTAGGGTTTAGGGCTTAGGCTTTAGGGATTAGGATTTAGGGCTTAGGGTTTAGGGATTAGGGTTTAGGGATTAGGGTTTAGGGATTAGGGTTCAGGGCTTAGGGTTTAGGGATTATGGTTTAGGGCTTAGGGTTTAGGGCTTAGGGTTTAGGGATTAGGGTTTAGGGGTTTTAGGGTTTACTGAGTTGCTGTTAAGGAAGGTGAACTAACTTACCATGATAGGGGTATATAGCACATAATAGGGTTTTTACATTTATCTCACTTCATTTACGTTCTTTAACAGCAATCCAGTTTAGGCTTGAGGGCTCAAGGTTCATTGTTTCGGGTTGAAGGTTTTAGGATGTTTCAGGCTTTGAGTTCAGGATACCCTAAACCCTAAATCCCAAACCGCCCGACATTCATTTGGGACAGCCGCTGGATAAGTCTCCCCTAATTACATGCTGCGCAAGCAGCGGCTCTTGCACTGCATGTCCAACCAGTGCTCTGCGTGTCAGGGTTGAGGGTCTAGGGTGTGCAAGCGAGGTCGCGCTTGGGTGTGGAACGACTTGGCTGCGCGCTTGTGTTGCTTGTAAGCCCACCCCGTCCACCCTCACAACATTCAATTAGGGTTTTACGCTTGCATGCACGATAACGGTGCATTAGCTGGACTTGCCAGCTTACAGGCTCAGAGAAAGGGCCTGAGTAGCCCCAGCCCTTATCGGGCTGGAACAGTGTACAGATCTGGCACAAGCTTCGTTTCAGACAGCTTGACCAACTTGCTTATGGAGGCTGGAGGTGGCTGGTGTTCAACTGTGATCATGGTTCCATCCTTGAATAAGGCCCCAATCCTGGCACCTGGGAGGTAGCGCGGCCCCGTTGAAATCCGTCGCATTTGCTCGAAAGCTGGCGTTTTTACATGTGAGCTCTTGTGAGGGTTGGTGGGTGTTTCCACTAGGGTCGGAATACCGCGGGGCTGCGCAGGTCTGCTTGAGGTCACGCGTAGTGGCTACAAGACGGCACCACAACATGTGCAGACTCCATTTTCTATGTGTATTTTCAGGCTCATGACAGTCTGCCTGCCCGATAGGACGCGAGATGGTCTGGAACAATGCAACTGCCAACGGTCGTTTGTCATTGCTTCGTGCAAGGTTTGTGTCCCACACGCAATGATGCTGAGGCCTTTCAGCCCTTTACAGAAAGATTTTTTTTGCAATGGCAACGCGTGTCTTACGACCCGTAAGTCGCCTACAGGCCTGAAAGACACCTTGTTGGCATTCAACTCGCAAGCTGCCTCCACTTGAAGCCCGTGTGATTTTGGTAGCGCGGAAATATCACACGCACGCTGATTGTCCACGTTGGAAACATCTTCTTCCGGAACCCGCCGGAATGCACAAGCACGGCAAAGCTAAAGTGGAACGTGTCAGAAGTATTACAACATTGCAGGAGCTTTGGAGCAAACAGTTCGGGGAAGGCAATTGGAAATAATATTCGAGAAGCTTGCAGTAGCTTCATAACTTCATATTCCTCAGGATCGGGATCATAAGCACCGGGCATTGATCAGGCAAGCTCACGAGGACCAGGATCATGTAAGGTCTGCAGAGCGCTTTCCCCCATGCTTAGAGCCTCCTGGTAAGAGTACTCATCAGACGGAGGCTCCAGCTCTTGGCTTGGGGCGACACAACAATGCTGCTCCACAGATGAGGCCTTCCCAATCTATCCCTCAAGCTGGGCAGCCTTGGAGACGGCTGTTTGCAAGGTTCCAATCTGGAGGCCCAACAACCTGACAATTTTAGGGCTTGGGACTTTACGTACTGTTGTTGGATTGGAAACAAGCATTCGACTCCATAGGCGGCAATGCCATGGCGATCGGTGATGGAAGCGCTTTGGATTTTCACAGCGTAAACCTTATCCAGATGCTGTATACCAATGCATCCAAACAACTCAGCATAGGATGGGTTCGGGTATTCGACCAAAGCTTTTTTGCCATCAGACTCTTAATCGATGCTTTGCCGAGGGGCCTTGCACTTAAAAGGCCTAGGAGGCTCTGGGAGGAAAAGGCTGGGGCCCTTGGTGAAGACTGGAAAGCCGGGAGCGGGTGGAGACGGAGGGAGGCCCAAAGGTTGGAGGAAGTGCGGAGGCCGTGAAGGGCACAGGCCAGGTCCTGGCATCTGGGCGGTTCTGGTAGGTGCTGGGAGGTGTTGGGAGATCCTGGCAAGTCTTGGGAGGTCTTGGGCAACTCTTGTCTCATGAACGCCCAAAGCAGATTCCGTGCTTGGGAGACCCCTTTATTGCCCCAGCATTCCAGTGAAGGCAAGGGTATCCATCATTCGTGAAAATTACAGTCTGCTGTAGGATCCGCAGCATACAACGGCCCTCATATTTAGAGTACCCGAAAAGAAACCACAATTTTTGGGCGACCCCCACATGATGCAATCTTTGGGAGAAAGATTGCCTTAGTCTGGGACCTTGCATACCACGGCGATGATATCCGTTCGCCAAGAAAGAAGCAGCGTGAGCATGACGGGGCACATGGCATTTATTGTTCGCCCCAGTTGATGTGTTGAACATTCCTAGATCGTACAAGAATTGAGGAGAACTACCCAGTGTCCTTGGAATCTCATATATGCTTGTGGTCCTTACAAACCATGGAAAAGTGCTGCACTACCTCGAATGCCTTTGATGTTAGGTGGTGGCCCTGGGTGTTTTCACGGATCCCCAGACCTAAAACCGCGGAAAACCACATGTGTTAGGTACCGGCGACTCCGGCGACCGCCAGCGGAGCTGCAAATCAGGTTCCGAGCATAAATTCCTAGTAAATAAAATGCCTAAAATGCACCGGAACATGCTCAGATTCCATATTACGCTTTCTAGATTTCTTAAACCCTGGGCTCAAATCGTGCATTATGGCAACAGCTCAACCCAGGAAGGAGCCGCTGGGTAAAAAAAACACTGGTCTAAGAGGTTACGAGGTCTGCAGTTTTGTTCGGATGGACATGATGCTTGAGGAAAATTTCGTAGGGAATGCAGGCAAATAGCTGGAGTAGAGTATTGCATCAACGAAGTTTTGGCTGCAGAGGTTTCAAAGGGTATGGCGGTCTCCGATGTAGTGCTCAGAGCCAAAGCATTGTAGCCTCGAACATGTCAGCACTGCGCACAGCAACGTTCAAGGTCAATCCTGCCACACCTACATCCCTAGACCTAGACCTTGGACCTTAAAACCCAATCCTAAACTCTTAATATCTCTATAGATCGCAAACCCTATACCTTACATGATCAATCCTCAACCTTCAACCCAGAACCCTGAACCCTAAAGTGTGCCCTAAAGTGTGAGAAGCCCTGTGCGCAGATCCCAAACAACCTTCTTCCAAAGCGTAGTACACAGGTGCTCCAAAGATACGCTGTAGCGTTTAGGTTGCGAAGCAACGGAAGAAGATTTCACAAAAGCGTGCGCAAAAGTTGTTGAAGCTCAGTCCAGAACTTTTAAAGCCCTGAGAGCCCGCTTTCACTGTAACCCCAAAACCTGAACCCCATAACCTAAAACCTCCTAAACCTCCTTGATTCTAGATGGGAATGCATCCTTGTAGAGTCCTTCATTTATAATCCTAGTTGTCATCACCACATACCCTAGGGTCTCGGAGACTCCTGTTGTTAACGGACTTCCACATGGATGAATGTCTGTACTGTGGTATTCTAGTTTCCGTTTTGGGGTAAGAATACATAGTGCTCTCGGTGATAGTATACGTAAGGAGGAACATGATCTCATGTGATCCAAGCACTAGCAAATTGCAACTCTCAACCGCAAACCCTAAATACCATGGCAGCTTCCATGTCCTTTTCCTTTCCCTACGATGTCCAACCACCCTAAACCCTATATTCCCTCACTCCTTACTGACCCCAAGCCTAAAAGCCTAAACCCGACATTTCCTCATTCCCACCGGTGAGGCTCGCCATCCGCCTGGTACACAGCTCCGAGCCCTCCGTGATGCACGCATGCGCGCATTGCTCAGGTTTTCAGGGCTTGGTGGGTTTAGGGCTTAGGGTTAAGGGTTCAAGGTTTATACGGATCCCTTGGAGGGTCATAGGGACTCAGTAAGTAGATAAACTCCTGGGATAGTTGGGGTTATTGCATGGCTCATAAGAGCTATTAACCTACTTGCTAGGTCCCTATGACCCTCCATCCAGGGCTAGGGCACCCTAAACCCTAAACCCTGAACCCTAAACCCTATAGGGATTAGGGTTCAGGACCTAGAGCTTAAGCTTCCGAGTTGCCAAGTTTAGGACGTCAAGGCCTTCGGAAATCTGGGCCGCGGTTCACTTTTTCTAATCTTGGTGTTAGGGTTCTGGCTTCAGGTTTTAGGATTTAGGGGTTTAGGAGTTTATTACCTACATAATTCCCAAGCTTGCGGTTCAGATTCCTTGTGAAATTATCGCGTATCCGAGGGATCCAAATATCCCAACCTAGGTAATATCCACAGACTTTCGCGCCCAATGTAGGTATTATTTGTATACTTGGATCCCTATAAGCCCTAAACCTTGGGTACTGCCCCCCCTCAGTAACAGTTGGATAATATTTATACTATGGTTATATATAGCCCTTAATACGACCCCTTAATGTAGACTGTTACTGGGGGGGGGCAGTACCCAACCTAAACCGTATGTCAAGTGGACCTCAGCAGGATGTTGGTAATTAGGGTTTAGGGTTTGCGTGTTAAGGACAATCTTTTCAGCAACCGTGTTTCCAGCCTACCTACACCCCCGGTTACCAGATTCCGGCGGCTAGACCTGGGCAGTACCTACGGTTGCGAAGTAGGTCAAGACTCTGCACTCTAAACCCTAAACCGCGTTTATACCTCCAGTTGCAAATTTCTCAACAGGTACTTACTTTGCCAATAGAAGAACTTAAACCTTTTTGGGCTTCCTTCCTGGGTCTCTATAAGAAAATTTAAACT